GGTGGGTTAGTCATTCTCCCACGTGGACTTCCAAATTTTTCAGGTTGTTTGTGCTACCTTGGCCCCGTCGGCTTGATTTCTTCCGTCCAGCTAAAACCAACGGTAACGTACCACTTCGCATCTGGAGATACAGACACCCTTACGTACTTTTGACACTCTTCCATACTGAGAAATGTGCCCCTGTGAACACAGTGCTTTTACACAAATGTTCGCCCCATTTCTAACCACTGCCCAGCTTTTATTAATTTTTATTGAGAATTGCAACAAATCCAAACCCATAAGAGTAAGGAGAATAATATCGGTCTTGCATGAATTGAAATAAATCTATTATACAACATGCATATCAAATATGTACCCATGTATGTGAAAATACATGAGCCCTTGGAAATAATTAAGTATAAGCTTCAAGAAAGCCAGCCCCATACATCCACATATTAGGTTATTTCTTTTTTTAAAATGGTTTGGGAGCCAAAAACTGTTGACGATTTATTACAAATCACCCAGACCTCTGACACTGAATCCTACTCTAACTTTTGCCCATCCCGGCAATAGATGGTAAAAGAAGGTGATCAACTCAAATTATAATCAGAGAGGAGTATTTGGTAACTCTCCATTATTATAAACCGCACACCGTGGGGTCATTTTTGTATAGCTCTGTAAGATACAAATCGGGAAATTGCCTGCAGCAAAAGAAGCTGCTAAATCCGCCAGACAAAAACAAGGGATTGATACCAGGAGATGCACAAAACATTCCATGCAAAACCATAATGTTTCACTAAATCTCTTAAAAAAAAACTACAATCCTATGACTGATAGATGCTGATGAGACAGCCATGGGGTAAGCTGGAGTCTGTGTTCCAATCTTAGAACCATATAATTAATATTTGTAAACCACCCAGAGGGCCCTCTGGGCTATTAGGGTGGTATATAAATGCAAATTAATCATCATCATCCTCATCCATGAGAGAGCTGGCTGTGCTGCCCTGGAGAACCTTTCTCTGCCCTCACAGCTGCCTCGGTTCCATTTGCTCAGGCTGTGGCTCTAGGGCTGGAAATGAGGGTTTGGACCTGCTGCCGGAGGGGCGGGGAAGGGCCCAGTGAGTCTTCGCAGGGATACGAGGAATCCTGGTGGTCTCATCCCCTCCTCCTCATGAGCAAGGGCAAAAGACTCAGGCATCTGTTATCTATGCCTGCAAATCTCCCCATTTCAGAGGGTCAGAGGCCACCGCTGGAGATGTTGAACAGAGAGATGCTTCTCGCAGGTTGCACAGGAAACAGACCTGCACTTGAATGGCATAAGGATGAGAGGAAGAACCGAAGAAGAACAGGGGATCTGACTTAGAAGTCACAAACAATCCTCGATGGAAGTTGCAAAGCCATCAGAGAAAAGTTCACTCTTATTACCCGTGGGAACAATATACCTCCAGGCACACAGCCTTCCATAATTTGGTCCGTGCTGTCTGGAAACAAAGGGGGTGCAGACTTTGTGCTAAATATAAAGCAGAAAAAATGTAAGTGTCCCCCAGAGCATTATGGATCACTTCAAAGGTCTGGCACCGTGCTGTCCACACGGCGCATGAAAGGTCTCCATTCATGCCTGTGGGTTCAACCAGCCAACAAGTACATGAAGCTGTGAGAAAGAGCAAGTGATTTCTCTACGGCCATCTCCCCCAACGGGTCCTCTCTGGCTGTGAGGGACACCACTCCCATCATCCACCAGCAGCTGGGGCTTGTAGCCCAGCACAGCTGGCAGGAAGGTTAATTCCAAGGCTTGCCACAGAAGCAGCCCATCGACGCAGTGAAGGGGCGAATCTACTGCTGCCGGTTCTCCATCTTTCATGCTTTCAGCGCCCTCTGAGGGCATCCGTCAGAAGCACATTGTGAAAATTACACAAGGTGCAGCGGCGTCATCTCAGAAGCACCGTCAGCCCTTGGCATCCTTAGGCAGGTCCTGATGCTGCCTTTAATTTTTTTTAAAAAGTCTGGTCCAGAGTTTTGGGCTGATCCTATTTATTTATTTAGTTAGGGCATTTGTATGCCGTCCCATCGCATAGCCTCAGGACGGCTTACATAAATAAAATAAAACATAATACAGATAAAATCCAGATCCACCCTGGCTGCATATTAAAACCTATAAAGTGATATTAAAAATTATTAAAATATCATTGAAATAAAAAGGTCTTAGCCTGGCGCCGAAAAACAAATTCTAGCCATTATTGACGTTCCAACAAACGCGCATCTGACCTGGATCTGTTCCAGGGCGCACTGGAACTCGATGCTTTTATTTCCACTCATGTGCCTCTAGGAAAATGCCCGTTTCCTCCCCCACCCTCCTCCACACCGTGGCCGTGACTAAAAGCGTCCCGTACAAAAGCCTTCAAGGGGCTCCCTACATGCACAAGGAGCTTGTTCTAGCTGCCTGCCATGCGGAGATCCTTCCTGGGGCACTGCAGCGGCTGCAGCTCTGGGTCCCCCTCGCAGCCCCCAGCAGCGCTTCAAACAGAGCGCCGTCCTCCGCCAAACAGGCCCCGGGCTCCCTTCTTGATGCAACCGCTAGCAGAGTTGGAAGTGTGTTAGCCGAGGAAGGACAGGGAGCAGGAGTTCCTTGGGAAAGAAGGACCTTTCAGGTCTTTCCGTGTCCGAACCAGGCAGGGAGGCAGAGAGACGACCAGTGCCACGGGCGCAGCGATGCTCTGTCAAAATGGCAAACAGCTGCATTTTGGGAGGGGTCGACTTCAAGGGCAGCCCCGAGTACAGGGCGTTTCGGTAGCCAAGCCTGGGATTTAGCCAGGTGGGGATCTGTGAGGCTCGGTCAGCCTGGTCCAAAAAGGATAGAACTTCGGCAACATGAAAGTGATTAAGTTGCTGAAACGGCCATCAATCAGCGGTGCCCACGCACTTCTCAAAAGCCAGTTGCTAGCCTAACTCTCTTCTGATCAGGAAAAAAAAAAAGGGGGGGGGGGTCTAATCCGTCACAGGCAATGCTGGATGCAATTCTAGGCATATTTACTCAGGAGCCAGGGCTGCTGCCTTGAATGAGGCTTACTCGCCTGGCAGCCTTGGGCACAGCCTCGCTGAATAGCAAATCAGGTCCAGCCAACGAAATCCAACGAGGAGCTTGGGAGGTTAACGTGCCCTTCCTCCCACAAGGCCCTTGATTCAATTTTGTAGCTCTTTAATACCCATTCTCTTCCCCACCATCTGTTGTACCTCATGCAAACCAATCTTGACATGCCCAGAAGAGGCTCCTGGTTAAGCAGATCCTTCCTACTTATCAGCTAATGAAGAAGCTGTTGGAGGCAGCCCTTGTGTGGGCTGAGAGAAGAGGCTGTTTTTAATCATCTTCCCCCTGTTTGTCTCCTCTGTAATTCAATTCAGCTCAAAAGTTGATGAAGTTAGAAATGGCCCGAAGGAACAAAATTGCTTCTGACTCTACACTCTTTTTGTTTCTGCTTTCTGTTTATTAAACATTATGCTGGCCTGAGAACCCACTCACTGCAGAACAATGGCAAGAGAGCATTGTAAACTGGGGGTGTATGCACTTTTTGGGCCGGGGGCTGCATCGGGCTTTGGCAGTGCTCCTGGGGGCTGCACGTTCATAAGGACACATGCTTTTGGATGTACATGTGGATGCTGAGCTGCTGGGGAAGTGGGTTTGGCGGTCACTAAGGGAGCCTCCCTCCCTCCTCCCCTGGGAACCCTAGGAAACATTTACATCTCCCAGGATGGGGAAGAAAGTGCCGGCATCTCGTAGGGGAATAGGAGTTTTTCTTCTTGGAGAACCAAGTAGCCTCCCTAGGATGTTATTTTTTATTATTATTTTTATTTAAAACATTTTTATGCCGCCCCCATCGCAACAAAGCCTCGGGGCGGCTTACAACAAAAACAAAGTTATACAATAAAAATATTAAAACCCGGTGCATCTCGGCTTAAATGTTGAAGCCTTGCACATCACAAGAGGAGCTGCAGACACCTTCCATAGAATTTTCTGGCCAGCAGTTGTGCTCTGACTTCCTCGGCTCCTCGGTGTTGACACTTGGACATTTCAGATCCTCAAGACAACAATCTTTCATTGTGGTGTGAGTTAGACTGAGAGTGGGACTCAAGAGATCTGGGTTCAAGTCTGTGCTCAGCCCTGAAACTCACTGGGAGACTTTGGGCCAGTGGCAGACATTCAGTCTCTCCTACCCTGCAGGGATGTTGTTGAGTAAAATGGAGAGAAGGGATGTTATGTAATCCACCTTGGGCTGCCCACAGGAAAAAATCTGGGACGTACATATAAATAATTTAAAATGATTCCTGGAGCTGGGAACCACTCACATACAGCCATTTATTGATAAATATTGATTAAATAATACATTAGGAATCAGGAGTTCATTGTTGTTCATTTCCCTCTCTCCTTTAAAATCCTTCAATTACTGCTGTATTAAACATTAATGACTGGCAGTCATTAATATGAAACATCCTTCACACAATAGAATTGTATGAAACAATAGTTTGCATTCATTAACATGAAACATTATACTTCATTAAATAATAATTATTGTAGGAAACTTCACAATTGGCATCCATGACTTTTCTAATTCATTTACATTGGGCTCTACATCCGATTTGGACCCTGCTGCGTGACGTTCATTTAGTTTATTTTCCTCATGTACAGCAAATACGGATGCGAGTCCTATGTACATCGAGGCATCAGAAGTCCTACAACTCCCAGCATCCCCCAGCCAGATTGGTGTTTCATATTAATGAAAGCGTGGCTGGGGATGCTGGGAGTTGTAGGACTTGTTCCCTCGCAACGCCCATAGGATCGCGCTGTTGGGGGGCGGAGTCGCTTAGCCGGCGCCTGCTAAAACCTCGCGAGCCGAGCGAGCAGGCAGCGCATGCGTAAAAGACGAGCGCCGCCTCGCGACTCGTTCGGCTTCAGGACGCCTGCGCGGCGACGAGGAGGGTGATGGGGAAGGGGCGGGATGGCGCAGGCGCAGTGCGACTCCGGCGCTACCGGAGCGTAAACAAGGCAGTGCCGTGAGGGATGAGGAAGCGGCCGGAGCCGAGCGGGGCCCGGAGCCGCCGAGGCTGAGCCTCCGCCTCCCCCGCCTGCCGGTCAGCCGGGGACGGTGACGGGGCGTCCCAGGCAGCGCCATGAACTTGGCCAGCCAGAGCGGCGAGGCCGGCGCCGGCCAGCTGCTCTTCGCTAACTTCAACCAGGACAACACGTAAGAGGGGGCGTGGCCAGCGGGAGCCGGCGCGAGCGGCGGGGGGGGGGGGGGGGCCCGCGGGGGCCGGGGGGGGGGGGGGGGGGGGGGGAGGGCGCGCGCCGAGGCCAGGTGGGCGCCGTGGGCGTGGCCGGCGCGCCTTACCTGCGGCACAGGTGGGCGCCCGTGGCCTGGAGCGCGCTGCTGGCAGGTGGCGCGTTTAACTGGGGGCCGCCGAAGGCGCATTTCTGTATGAGGCAGCCTGCTCATGGCGGAGTCGGGCGCTGGCCGAGCGCTCCTGGCGTTGTCACACTGATGGGCAGCGGGGGCTCTCCAGGGCTACTTGCAGGAGGTTTGCATCCCTCCCTGGAGATGCCCGGGATCGGATTTGAGACCTACGTGCAACGCATGTGCTTGTACTGCAGAGTCACATTCCTTACGTTTATTTGCCACCCAGATAGTCGAGGTTCTGTTGGAGGTTGATGACAACAAAAACGATTAAATGTAAGAATCATGCACTGCAAAAGTTAAAGGACCGTATGCAATAAATCTAAAACTAAAACTTAGCAGCAGTGCAAATACTTAAATAACCATGAGTGGGTGGTTGGGGCTTTGCCCCATGGATATCTGAAGTATTCTGAGTGTCTGAAGGAACATCTTCCATATATACCTGCCCACCCACTAAGATCTGGGTCAGAGGTCCTCCTTTAGGAGCTCTCTTTGAAGGAGATCAGAAGAGTGGTTACCTGGAGAAGGGCCTTCTCAGTGGTGGTGCCCTGGCTTTGAATTGCTCCCTAGAGAGGTGTGCCTGCTGCTGGCACTTCATTCATTTCTGTGCCAAGCTAAAACCTTTTTATTTTCCCAGTATTTTAAGAGTTGATATAGTTGTAATACGGGTTTTATGTAATTGTTATTTGATGCTGCTTTTCTTGTTGTACTGCCATTCTGAGACCTCGTTAAAGGACAGGGTAGAAATGCTTTTAATTAATAAGTAATACTTGGGGAATCCTGAGTTGCTCATTCCTGGAAAGTACAGTGCTTATTTGATGGCTGTGATGCAGATAACTTCTGTCAGGCACAGTGGAGCCTACGTTACAGAGCATGAGAACTGTAACAGTGTTTTGAGCACCTTTCTGCAAAAGCTATGCCTGCCAGATGTGTGAGACTCCAGTTCCCAGGAGGCAGGGTCAGAACACTGTGAAGTCTCAGGTTCAGCCATGCAGTTCACTTGATACTTGCTCAGCCTAACCAGTCTCACAGGGCTGTGAAGACAAAACATGGGGTGAAAAAGCTTGTGTGCCACTTTGAGAATGAACATACTAAATAAACAAAGCAATGTATAAAATAAGGGGATTTGACCCTGCTTCATAATGCAGAAAACAAGGAGAGAGGTGCTAGTGTAAGCATAATATTTGCAGTATTCAGCTCGGACTGGGAACAGTTAGGTTTAAATCTTCCCTTGGCCGGAAAAGCTATTGGGTAACCTTGGTTCAGGCAGTACCTCTTGGCTTAACCTCTTCACAGAGTTGTTACTAGGATATAAGGAAGAGGAGCTGCTTTGAGCTCATTTGTGGAAAGTTGGAATAGGAGCGTTGGTGAAGATGATAGCAATGATGGAAAGAGATGCAGGCATGAGTGAACAAGCAAGAATATGCTTTTATTGTACTTTTGCTGATTTTATTTTCCTATACTGCCCAATAGCTCTCGGGGGGAGGGGGGCTCACAGTAACTTCCCAAAGTGCAATATAAATACAAAATAAAAACTTGTTTAAAGTCTAAAATTTCAATATACAAAGTTTAAAACAATATAAACATTTAAAACAATTTAATTAAAGCTTGGCCTATTTAAAACACCTGCCATAACTTCCATATGATGTTTAATGACTGAAAATAGAGAGCAGTTTTAACTTGGCACCAAAAGAGTTGGTGCCAGATGGGCCTTAGTGGGGAGATCATTCCGTAACTGGGTGGCCCACCAGTGAGAAGGGCTGCCTCCTTTTTTCCTCTTTCTTAGCCTCCCTTTGAGTTGGCAGCCTGAGGAAGATCCCACTCCAGGTGCAGACTGTAGAATTCAGGTAGATTGAGGGTGGGAGAGATGCTCCATAAGATATTGTGGTCCTAAGTCATGTAGGGCTTTATAAGTTAAAACCAGCACCGTGACTTGAGCTCAGAAGTGTTTAGACAGCCAATGGAAGCAGGCCAAAATTGGTGTTACATGTGTGGATCATCTGGTCCCAGTTATTAATCTGGCTGCTACATTTTGCACAAACTGTGGTTTCTGATGAGTCTTCAAGGGCAGCCCCATGTAGAGTACAGTGCAGTAATCTAAATTAGCGATTACCAGAGTGAAACCAAGTCCTTTCTGTCCAGATGGGACATAAATGAGACACCAGGCAAAGTTGGTAGAAGGCACTCCATGCCACTGAGGCCACCTAAGCCTCAAGTAACAAAAGTTGGATCAAGGAGGACCCCGAGCTATAAACCTGCATCTTTAGGGGGCATACAACCCCCTCCAGGACAGGCTGAACACTGGTCTCATCTGGTCAGGAGAACCACCCACTTCAGCATCTCAGTGTTGTCCAAACTGGCCTTCATTTCATTTGCTCTCAGCCAGTCCATCCTCAGAGCCAGGCATCAGTTTAGCCCATCCAGAGCCTCATCTGATGAGGCTGAACAGGAGAAATAGAGCAGCACGTTACGAGCATGCTGATGACAACGTACCCCAAAATACCTGACGACCCCACTCAGCACCTTCTGCTCTGGCTCACTGAGGACATGCTTTGTGGAACTCGCTCTCAAGCAAACGTGGCTCAGCTTAAAGCCTTAGAATGTAGTTCTTCTTCCAACGTTGTTCTCCAGAGTTGTGTCTTCCAGATTTTCTTTAACTTGTGCTCACCAGTCCCAGCTAGAATGGCCACTTGTCAGAAATTGGCAGGGGGTGTCCAAGCATCCTGAGGATGCCAGGTCAGTGAAGGGTACTTAAGCCTACCAGCACAATTCGATATATATCAGAAGTCCAGTTTTCATGCGGGTTTATTCCCAGGACGGGATTGCAGTCCCCAAACCCTCTGTTTCATCCACATTTCTCTCCTGTTTGGGAACAGAGTTTAAGAGTGATTCAGCTTGAAGGTGGGGGGACGCCATAACAGAGAGACGGAGCATGTATTTTGCTTGTAGAAGGTCCCTGATTCATCTTCATTATCTCCCGTTTGGACAGATGTTGCAAAGCAAACACGGCCTTTTGTATAGACGGTTCCGAACTAGATGAGTCACTTGTGTAACTCTGTATAGCACACCCTGATATGGTATGGCAGACCCTGCATGCATGAGATTGTCCTCAGCATCCATTAATCTGGAATAATTCGGCTCTGTTCCTGAATATACAGTCCGCTAGGTTTGCCATCCCTTCCTTGGAAGATGTCTCAAGCCGTGCTTTCATTTAGTCTGCCAATGGGTGTAACAGTGTGAATGAATGTCTCGAAGGGAATATAAGTCACCTTTGCTCAGTGATAACTGAATTTGTATCCTGTGATGTTAGCAAGTGGGATCGGGGTTTCACTGGAAGCTCAGCTGGCCGGCATATGCCGTGTCTAGGAGGAAAACGCAGGTGAAACAGTTTGCCGTCCCTGGGAGTGAACCCTCTTGGACTTCTAATTTGTTGTAAACCGTCCCGAGATGTCTAAGTATGGGACGGTATAGAGAATATATCCCTTGTTTAGCAGAGCTAAACAAAAACACGGCCGAAAGTGAGCAAATACTACTACTCCTTTACAGTTGAGGAGCCGAGACAGAGAGGGGTGGACACTGGGTCAGCCGTGGCGGAGGTGCTTCTGTTCTGTCCCAGCCTTCTCCACCTTGGCCACGCTGGCCGTGCTTGCGGAACGTTACAAAGCAACGGATCTGGAGGGCCCCCGATTGAGAGAGGCCGCCTTGCCCTTTGTGCGTGGAAGTCAGTGGCAAAACACCCCTGAATCCCAAGCTGTATGTTGCCCGCCTGTGGCCCAGGGCACACCTGGTTCTCTTGGGCTGCTGCTTGCGGCAGGGGATGAGGTGCAGTGGGCAACCCTCTGCCAGGAAAGCTTCTGGATCCTAATCCTCTTGTGGCACGGCTCTTGCTAAATTCTAAGGAGCTTCTGGAATTCCTGGGATGGTGGATTTACACCTTTGGTACAGACAGAATTTTGTTATTTTGAGGCAGGGCTAAGGAGCCTGTGGCCCTCCAAATCCCATCATTCCTGGCCAGTGCTCATGCTGGTTGGGGCTGATGGTAATTGAAGCCCAACTCTGTCTGGTGGGCCACGGGTTTTCCCCTCTGCCCAACTTATATTTTAAAATTAGTAGTGGTACGTACGTCTGAATATCCGCAGCTGTCTGTGGTAGGCACCACCCAAATATTAGACACCTGGATCACACTCAGTGAGTAACAGGGGTGGGGAGCAACCATCCAGTCCTCTCCATGTTTACTCAGATGTCAGCCCTGCTGCATTTAGTGGGCCTTAATCCCACATAGGTGGCAGGTTTGGAGTTAATAAAGAAACCCACTGTGGTGCATTTGGACCGATCACCTCTAAATCAACAACAGTGCCGGTGTCAGCATAACCATCTCTTTGTTTTCCTCTTCTTATCTCCCAAGTTTTTAAAAACTTTTTCCACCAGATCTTACAATGGAAGAGAACTGAACAAGGTTACACTGCTGCAGAGATCTTGCCTCTTGAATTTAAAATTTAAAATAGCGCTAACTAAAATGCCAGGAGAAGGAAGCAACGTATATAGACAGACCATGAGTGTTTTGAAATGCTGGAGAGGTGATTGGTAGGGGTAACCATAAACATATTTCTTTTCAAAAAGGGTGGAGTATTACCCATCGGAAGTGAGTAAACAGGAAATGATCTGAGCGATGTAATCAGGGTTTTTTTGGGAATGACTGTCTGCCTTGTGTATGTATCGCACAAAGTCGGGCACACAATTGCCTTCCTTGATGACTCATTAAAGCTGAAGGGTCCATGTAGTGTAATAACCTCCACAAGAGCTTGACCTTCATCCCACTCCTCTGCTTCTCTTCCCCGCCTCCAAAATTTTGCATAATTTGGCCAGTGCGTGCAACAAGGAACCCTTCTTATGTGTAAGAAAGAAGATGCCAGTAATGGGGAATCCGTACTGCGTATCCCTAGAGAGGGGGAAATGGTGGGGGCTGGCTAGTCCAGTGTAGCACATACTTTCCATCTCGGTGCCTTTCTGATGTTTCAGACTGGCCGTGCCAGCATCTGAACGACATCAGGTAGTAGAAGGCAGGTGTGGTGGGTCAGGGTGTGAGTTCATACAGTTCACACTTTGCCTCTGCTTTGAACTCGGGAGGTGGCAAGCCCATGTCCTTTGCGTCGTGAGGCTTTAACTGGCCTACTTCATACTGAAGAAGATGAAGTAATTCACTGAAAAAATGATATCTCCTTTGCAGGCTTCAAGGTTCTGAATCTCATGCCATCTTGAAAGCCCAGTCCTTAAGGAAAGTCCTTCCTTAATTAGCAAGGCAGTATTGGGTGTTGGATACTGTGGACAAGGGAAACCGAGGTTCCGATCCCTTGTCTGTCCTAAAGTTCACAGTGTACAAAAGCCTTAAGCAAGATTTTTCTCTTGCTTCCCCCACCCCACAACCTAAGGCTGGGTCTCACTGGAGGAAGGAACAAGAAATACTTATGTAGGCAACGTCCTGCAGAGGTTTTGCACTACAGCTCCCAGAATCCCTGACTATCAGTCACGCTTGCACAGTCATGTATGAGTCATGGTGGGCATGTCGTGAGCGGAGCGACATGCACATGGTGGGCTTGTCATGAGCAGAGCCGGCTGGTGCTGGAGGTCAGACTAGATGTCCCGGGAGGTCCCTTCTGACTCGCTCTGTTTCTATGTTTCTATGAGTCGTAATCAAAACCAGGTGATCTGCCCCCAGACAAGGGCATCTGTGCAAGCTGACGCCAAAGCAAGCTCAAGGAAAGCGTTGTGTGGTTCAGGGCCTGACTTGGCAAATGGTTCCGAAGCGAGTTTGTACCATGAACCTGCACAGGGCTGGGCATCCTTTAGCTCTCCAGGAATGTGGGTGTTGCAGCCCAGCAGTATCTGGAGGGAACATTATGTTGAGATTGAAGCTTGAATCAACAAACCACAGTTGTGGCCATTTCTCCACTTTTGGGGGCAGCTGCACCTAAAAACTGAAGCAATGAGCAGACAGAAAATGCCGTTGTACCTGTAAGGTACATTTTTAGCTGAAAATAATGGTTTCGAGGTGGTATTAATTTTAAATTAGCCTTCTGGCTAGCATTGGCAAATCTCCGAGAACTTGGTTAGCTGAAACTTTCCTTGTGTTTTGTGTGGAATTAAAAATATTTGTCAGTTCTGCTCATTTCTACTATTGCTATGCAGAGTAGCATACGGCAGGGCCTGTGGGTAACAATAGTTACGCCTGCTTGTCTTTTTTTAGCAGTATTGCGTGGGCTTAGTTAAATAACTGAATGTTAATTTCTGCCATTAGGCAGGGCTCTGAATTTTTGTTGAACTAATCCAAGCTGCTAGACTTTGCCATTGAGGATCAAAGCTTTGTAAATGTGTCTTTACTGCTAGTTCATGCGGAAGAAGTTTTGAAATCTTCCATGGGCAGAGGGACGGATTTAGGTAATTATTGGTATTAAATCCCCCATGTTCTGAAGAGCAGTAAAATGGAGTTCCCGTGAGCAAGTGTATTCAGTGTGTGGCAGACGAAATAGCTATCTTGATAATATGATGCGGTTTCTTGTTAATGTTCTGCATCCGGTGTATCTCGTATGCTTATGGAGTCAGCGTAGAAATGTCAGTGCTCCACTGGTGGTGTTTTTCCTAGTAGTTCTGCCAACCAAAAATGCTCTGGTGTTTGTCAAAATAGACTATAATCTATAAAGCAGATGTCATAATAAATCCATTCAATGGCTGGCCAGGCCAGCCATTCGTATAACAGGGTGGGTGGAGTTGGGGGTTGGGTAAATAGCTAATTCCCTGATAAGAGCCTAGCAGAAACCAAGTTGTGTCAGGACAAGAATAAATATGTTTGCTTCCCTCTCGCTGGCTTCCCCTGCTGTGAGCGACCGAATCTTTGGGCTGTGGGCGAGGCGAAGAGCGCAGAGTGTTTGCATCTTCTGACAAGTGTAGCTTTAATTATTTATGCGCCTATCTCACAGCGGCCCGTAATTGATCTCCGGTGCCGTAATGGAGCGAGGGTGCTGACTGCCAGGGTGCTTATCCTCTAAGCCAGTTCTACAGATCAGACCTCCCAGTGGGGTGGCCTCCCTCCCTCTCTTGGTTCATTCTCTGCCCATGGATCCTCTGGGGGATTGCACCGTGGGTGGGAGTGGTGGAGGTGGTGTGATCGCTGTTCGGAGGGGTAAGGACAGGCCAAAATGGGGCAGGGCTGGGCTCATGCACCCTCATTCCTAGTCCATAAAGAGAAGCCCAACCCCGAGATCGTTTGCCTTGATCTGGCGAGGGACCTGCTTGTGCAGAACGGAGGGTTGAATGCCATTTTAGAAAAGCTTTCAGGAACTGTACTTTAGCAGTGAGTGGGGACAAAAAGGCGAGTATCTGTTAGCTGGAAGCTCCTGCCATCATTAACTAAGTCTTACGGTAGGCTTTTGAACCTGACACGGCGGGAAAACTGGACAAAATCTGGAAGCCGCCAAGCTACCCATGCTTGGGGAGAAAAATTATCCAGAGGAAGGAATGTGTAGCTCAGGGGAACTTGAGGGCCAGGTTGGGATTTCTGGAGCCTCTGTCCCAGGGGAGTTTGATGCCTGGGGCTTGGGAGCACAGCCCAGCTGTAGGAGAGCTATGTATCCCTAGCTGCAGGCTGGGTGGTGCAGGTTGCACTCCAACAGGGGAGGGTTGCATGCTGGAGCATGTGCCTTTCATGCGCAAGGCGCCACTGGAACAACCCCTGGCTGAAATTCTGGCGAGTTCCCGCCGGGCTGTGTACACAGGACTGAGCCAGAGGGACCATGGCTCTGCTTCCACTTAAGGACCCCCCCTCGATAACTGTCACAGGCTCAGCCATTCCCCTCAACAGCTTGCCTTTAACATTATTCCAAGAGTTGGATTGCAGGCAGTAGCATCTTGTCGCAGCGGCACACACGATGCCTGTTGAATCCACCTCCCGCTCTCTTGTTTACAGTGAAAACACAGTTACATTGTTAGAGCTATTTGAATTACTGTCAAAACAAGCCACAATTATATTTTGTAACTTTCAGTACACAAAAAAGCAGGCACATCAAGTTGGCTTGAATTATTTCCCCAGCAGGCAATAATAATGATACGATGTTGCTTCTGCTTGGAGATCCCAGGCTGCCAAATGACAGGATTATCTTTAATCTACTCTTTATTTTTCCAAAAAGGCCGGTCTGTTTTGCTAGGCCATTGCACGAGGGCTCACTGTGAAGTTCGGTCATTTGATTTACCACCTGTTAAAACGCATAGTGGTTTCTGAATAGTGGGCAGCGCAAGTCCCACAGATTTCAGAATAGCCAGCTTTAAAATAAAAGCTATCCCTTTGGGGCGCATTAGAGCTGAGCATTTCAGCTTTCCTATAGAATTTGATCGTTTAAGGGAAAATGAAGTGTCATGTGATATAAATTGTTGTATCTTATCAATATCTGACTCTCCCTCGAGGATGCACAGTACACCAGCCTTAATGCTATGTTTGGAAGAAACACTTAGTTTCTTTCCTTCTCCAAAACCTCAACCTAGAAATGCAGTGTGCAAACAAAAGTGCTCTCTCCCAAATGCAAACAAATTACACAACAATCCTCTAGCCAGACTTTGCAACAAGCGCTTTCTGCTCCTTGCAGCAAACTCGTTCTGTGTATAGGCCTGTCTGTGTTGCAGCAACAACATGGAACTCTAAAGACTGGAACTGCTGACTTGGTTTTGCAAGCGGCTCTGCAGCTGAATGGAGAAACACGAGATCGTGGGATGACCCAGGGCAAGCTATGGAGTGGAGTGTGCAATGGGAGAGAAAGCTCGGACACCCTGCTGCATTCCATGTCAAATAGGGAGCTTGGCCGATTTCCCAAGCTTGTTTGACCCACTGTCTCCCTCTGCAGGTCCTTGGCTGTTGGCAGCAAATCAGGATACAAATTCTTCTCCCTCTCTTCTGTGGACAAGCTGGAGCAGATCTATGAGTGCAGTAAGTACCCGCTTCCATCCCCTTCCGATCTCCTCCGGCCCTGTTTTGCACACTCGTTTCCTGAAATCACGTTGCCGCTCATCCCCGGGAGGAACGTGCTTCCTCGCCCTGCTTGAGCAGTCCAGTGGCAGAGCGGAATCGGTCTGTGTGGTGGTATTTCCAGCCGCAGCCAGTGGGCAAGGAAAGAGACAATTCCCTCCTTGTTGGGTTCCACACATGGCCGTAATTTATTTATTTATCGATTTATATCCTGCCTTTTTCCTACAAAGGGCTGAAGGCAGCTGACATCATTCTCCTCCTCCATCTTATCCCCACAACAACCACCCTGTGAGGCAGGTTGGGCTGAGAGTCTGTGACTGGCCCAAAGTCACCCAGCTGGCTCCATGGCTGAGCGGGGACCAGAACCCAGATCCTCTGAGTCCCAGTCCCGTGCTCTTAACCACTGCACCACACTGGTTCGCTGTATCCATATCAGACCTTCCAGTAGCATTCAGGGATGAAGGGGGGGCAGGGAGGTGTGCACGCTGGCCCCACCTTGTGGAAGGCTGTAGGCACTACCCTCTTTGCCCGTGGGTGCCTCCCCTCCTCTCCCCCCCTCCCCAGCCCTGCCATTAATTTATCTGCCTAGCTCTACTCGTCACAAAGCTCACGGGGCAGCTTTGGACCAATTTCTCTTCCTCAGTCAAAATGACCTCCTTGGCTTGTTGTGAAGCTGGAATGGAGAGGAGGAGGAGGGAGATCAGGAATCTCCCTCGGAGAGGAAGCACCGGTATAAACATCTTCCATTTTGTTGCACCTCCCCAGTGGTTCAGGTACTGGGCCCAGCCTTTCTTTATGTGGGCATCTTCCCAGCAGTAAACCAGAAGGGGGGGAGCGCTGCCAAATTCCTTGTGACGCCTGCTGCGATGAGGGCAGAGTCAGGACTGGGCCCTGGTGTGGCCTAAACGAAACCTTGGACGTGTCTGGTCCACGGCCCATCCATTTTCTCGCATTGCCATCACCCCTGGGTAAAACCCGTTGTGAGAGACCAACGTGGTAAAGAATCGATTTGTTTTATGCAGGAAACTGGTAGAGGCCCTTGGGGGATGTTAACATTAATAACTCCCTCAAAACGATAACAGACGAAAGGATAAATATAACAAGAAATACGTCGATTGTGAAAAACGATTAAAAGGTTGGAAATGGAGCCAGCGGTAAAGTAAAGAATCAGAGCAGCTGATTGCATGTGAGAGGCCTGCAGAAGAGCAATGCCCGGTCAGAGGCAGTCTGCTTGGGAAGAGTGCTTTGCAGGTGGGGAGCCAGAGGACGCTGCTTCCCACCCAGCTGCAGTTGTGGGACAGCCAGAGAAGAACCTTTGTCCTTCTGGAGCTCTGGGACAAAACCTGCCTTTCAGGAGACGCTCTGCACTTGACACAGGAACTGTGTTTCCGGCCTCTCCCTGCGACCAGCATTTTCCCACATCAGGCTCCCTCTATGGGCAGTGTGCAAACATATACCTGGCTTATTTTTTTTTTTTGGCAGAGAGGTGCACAGGTATCAATAGTACTTGATTCAATACATGCTTATAGCACGTGTGGTCTGCAGCACTGCGAGTGCTGCCCCCATTCCATTTGCGGGAAAACAAATTCCTGCTGAAGGATGGGGCTTCCTTCATGGGCAGAACGCGGTGGGCTGAACGGGCGAGGGTTCGCCTAGCTCACGTGGTGAGCGATAACCAGGCGGCTCCTTCCCTGAGTCCAGCACGAAGCAACCCGGCAGCCACAGAACACCGAATGCCGCTCACTGTCAGCGATGCCCCCCTGCATTCTGCCGTCTTGCAGCCAAGTCTTGGGCCAGGCTCTGGAAATGGGGACAGCGCTCCTCGTTTGATAGGGCCGGGAGAAGCAGCCGCACCCCTGAAGCGGCTAACGTCATGGCAGCACTCCTGCCTGGCAGCCGTCATCTTCCGCGCTGCCGAATATGTGAGATTTATACTGATGCTTCTGGCCAGGAAGCCTCAGTTGCTGCCTGAAATCTGTTTCATGGCACAAGCTTTTAGGAGCTTTTTATTTACAGCTCTCTAGCCTTCTCTGAGCAGAAGGCTGCTCCCCCCGCTCCCACGTTCTGTTGTCTTCACCCACTTAGCAGCTTCGCTTTTCACACTGTAATATTAAAGTCTATTTACAGCCAGCTGCCCCAGAAAATGTCAATGTATCGATCCACAGGGAAGAACAGATCTCTTGTTGGTTGCAGTTTAGTCACGCACCTTGGAGTTCTGGTTCAGTTCAAAGTGGTCTCTTTCACGTAAAGCCACCTGTGTGTGTGGGGGGGGGGGGGGTGGGGGGTTGTTTGTTTGTGACTTGATTTTTTGGAAAGGAAATAGGGCCCACATCTTACACAGAGGACCTTCGAGTTAAATCCACCAGGCGTGCTTCCTTGGGAATTAATCCAGGATATTTATTTCCAAATACACGTGCTGGGGCCCCGGAACACGTGGTGCACGCTTGGCCCTTTACCACCAAATTGTTCCCATGCTTTCTTCCTTCAGGGAACCTTTCCCATAGCAAGGCATTTGCCAAGCAGACCTTGCATGTCTGCAGTCGCATTTGCTCTAGAGGGTTTGGGGGTGGGGGGTGGGTCAGGCTCAGAGCAGCGAGCAGGTCCTTCTGGCTTCTGCTGCCCTTTGTGTGCTGGGCGTGTGCCCACAGCTCATCCAAATGCGAACCGCGACAGTTATGCCAGTCGACACACGGTCTTTCAAAGTCGCTTGCGCGCCGCTCCTGAGTCTCTTACGGAGGAGCTGCCGAAGAAAGGCAGGGACGGTTGAGTTACCCTTTTTCCTTTGCTTCCTGGCCATGCTTCCGGCTCCCCCACGCACTGGACGGTGGCGGCATGTGGGTTGGCGGCCAGATTCCCTGGCCCGGCATCCCTCTGCGCACCTTTGCCTGCCTTCCCTCGCACTGACAAAAGTCTGCCGTGTCCCCCCTTTTGCATCCCCCCTCCCCGCCCCTCCCCTCCCCTCCCCGCTCGCCCTGCAGCCGACACAGAAGATGTGTGCATTGTGGAGCGGCTGTTCTCCAGCAGCCTGGTGGCCATCGTGAGCCTCAAGGCCCCCCGCAAGCTCAAGGTCTGCCACTTTAAGAAGGGGACGGAGATTTGCAACTACAGCTACTCCAACACGATCCTGGCTGTCAGGCTGAACCGGCAGGTGAGGGGGACGCGCCGTGATTGTCCCGCCGGCCGGAGCGGGGGGCCGAGGAGTGGCTGCGTGGGCCGGGAGCAGGCAGGCTCCACGTGCAAACCGCAGGGGAAGCCCGTCTCTGCTGCTGGTGGCACCTGCCTTGGCCCAGGGCGTTTCCGTGCAGCAAAGCGGATTCTCACCCAGAGAGAGCCAGTGGCTGCGCGTGTGGTGCCCGACTCACTAGCCTTCTGTGTGCAGAAGCACGTCAGATGGGGCGGAAAACTCGTTTTTGGCAGATCCCCATCAGGCTGCAGGCGGAGGTCCACGCGGTAGAGCGTTCCTCCTTACCGAGAAATCCCAAACTACACCCCTTCATGCTGACATGCTCCCTTTCTGTGAGCGGGGACTCTAGTCACGTGGAGGAGCACCCAGTTGTGCAGGGGGTCCCTGGCAGCTTGACGAGGGTCCAGAGAAGGTTTCCCAGCTCACCAGTGTTCTGCAGAAACTAGGCCCTCCTCGGAAACGAGCAGTGTGCGCCTTTGCTGATGCTCCCTGTGTAAACGACACATACTTCGAACTGTTGCGTCGGAATGTCCATTTGGAAACAATGCTTAACGCTTGCCCAAGCCAAGAGCGCAGTCTCAGCCACACAGGATTCTGCTGCCCCCGGATTGTGTCTTTATGTTTTTTCTCCCTCTTCTGTTGTAATGCATATTTCCCCAGAGGTTGATAGTCTGCTTAGAAGAGTCCCTGTACATACACAACATCCGGGACATGAAGGTGTTGCATACAATCCGGGAGACGCCCCCGAACCCTGCAGGTAAGTGTGGGCCCTTCTTTCTCAAAGTCTTCTCTAGCTTGCGTTCTCTTCCCACTCTGTCCTGCAAAATGAAAGAACAGTAAGAATGCCTCTGAAAGATACTCCGGCTAAAGCAACTGCCAGAAGTATGACAGATACACATATTGTGCATCACACACGAGGCTTGTACACGTGCACTGTGAAACACCTTGGGTGTGCATCTAAAAACATAATGTATGAAGAGGCCTCTCGGGTTTATAGATCGGGGCTGGCAGGTCAGGAGCTTGCAAGAGGTCTCTAGCCACCTTTCTGTAGACTAGCAGGTGTTTCTGCTTCACGGTTGTCTTCGTAGTAGCGATAATGCAGGAGCATCTTTCCCCAGCATCTGGTTGGGGCTGCGTGGATGCAGGAATGGGGCGATACGGAAAGCAGCCTGGGTTCTCTGTGTAAGAGGGCAAGGGGTGGTCTTAGCTCCCTCGTATTGGGTGACCTGGCTTGCCATACTGGGAATCCTTTAGACAGGGAGCAGTGTGCAGATACAGAGGAGGTGTGCTGTCCATTTGTCAGTCCTTCCCGGATCCCCCATGGATCTTCCCATATCCAAACCCCTACCCCTCTGGAGCTGTCCTGGTAAAGCATTAGAAAAGATAACCACAAGGACACCCAAGGGGACTCCTCAGATCTTTTTCAGCCAATGTTTATTCAGCATTTATAACATGTTTTACAAAAAGTTGCCCAGGGTGGCTTCTGTGAAACCGATAACAAAGAGGGCCACCTCTGCATGCGAACCCACAATCTAAAAGGCCCAGCACAAAAGGGACAGCAACGCTCTTGGGGAAGCAACGCTGGGCTGGGCTTGTACGACCGGCTTGAACGGAAGGCCCTGTGGAGCTGGTTCCTCTGCAAAGCAGGTGGAATGGCTCTGCCGGCCCTCCTCTCCCCCTGCTGCACCCCCGTACCAGTTGCCGCCCTTCCCAGGGCTTCCTGGCACATCGCAGCCTGGGCTGACGTCCGCTTTTTCGCTTCCTTGTCCAGGTTTGTGTGCGCTGTCCATAAACAATGACAACTGCTATCTGGCCTACCCAGGAAGCGCGAGCATTGGGGAAGTGCAGGTCTTTGACACCATCAACCTGGTGAGCGTCTGCACATCTCCCACACGCTCTTGCTCGGGAAGGGTTCCCTCGTGGGCACTGGGTGCGCTGTGCTAAGCTCCTGTGTTTCTTTCGGTCGACTCTTTGCAGAGAGCTGCTAATATGATCCCGGCTCACGACAGTCCTTTGGCCGCACTGGCTTTCGATTCGAGCGGCACAAAATTGGCCACGGCATCGGAAAAGGTGAGCCCCCGATTTGGCACGTTTTGTCAAGAGCTGGGCGAAGGAGCTGTGCTTTGCTTTTGGATCAAGCTGAAACATCCAGACGTATATGTTCAGTGTCACTGCAGACAAGTATTAAAGGGTTTGATTTAAAACACATACACTGCCAAACTTGCTCCTGTGTGAGGACAGAGCTGAACTAGAGGCATCCACCTTTTCAAAGGGAGTGTGGCCATGCTTGTTAAAATATACTTCAATTATATATATAATTGTAAGAGCGGAGAGAAGGTGGCAAACATCAACATTAGACAGAAGTATTTCCTATTTGCCGGTATTTTGCAGTAAGTGAAGAAGTCTGTCACTGTATAAATTGGCGCAGATTCCTCACTCTCTGGATTTGGAATCGAGTTCTTACAACTCCCATGCCAGGTGTGACTTTCTGTCATGATAAACTCTGCTTTTGCCTCTTCTAGCAGCGGCGCTGCGGAAATACAGGGTCATTGCAAGAAAAATCCTGACAGTCAGAGTCACATTATCCCTGGCAATTTTTTAAAAGAAACTACTTCTGTTCTGTCCGCCACAAATGATACTGGTCCATCTCTTTCCAAGGTTTGTTTACCCTCTAGAACGAGCCCTTAAAAATGTACTTGACTCGGGGTCTTCTGGTATAAAGCAGTTCCAATCAGAGCTGGAAAATACCTGCAGCACGATACCTGCAATGGCCTTGACCAACAGGTTGCCCTCTGGATGTTTTGAATCACAGTCCCCGTGTCTGACCGTTGGCCGTGCTGCCTGGGACTGATGGGGATTTTAGCCCATCTGGAGGGCAGTCCATTGAACAAGGCTGGCCTTGGCCTGGATCTGGGGTAGCGTGCAGCTGGCTCAGCCCGTCCCAGGGGGTGGGGTTTATGCCTCTCAAATCACCCCCCCCCACCGATTGCCACATAGAAAACGGCTTTGAAAGGGGGCTCGCTTCTTCAGAGATAATCTGCAGTATGGCATGCAGAGTGTCTCACATGGGGTGGGGAAGCTTTAAAGCCTTTTGCGAGCATGCCTGCTACACACATAAAGCTGTTCTTGGGGGCCCGTGATTTCGCTTCCTCCTCTGTAATGAAAAGTTCTCTTACAAAGTAATGCACTCATTGCAAAATGTAAATCTTCTTTCATCTGAATAGGGTACAGTGATCCGGGTATTTTCCATTCCAGAAGGGCAGAAACTTTTTGAATTCCGAAGGGGAATGAAGAGGTGAAGTGAATTCTCCCTTTCCGAGGCTTGTTCTTTGTGCTAAATTTCCTCCATCCTCTGCAGTCGAACGTGTGTGTAATCATTGTGAATTGTTATGGCATATGGAGAAATTGTAGGGTGCAGTGTTCATTCCTTTAAAGGGGGAAAAAATCCCAGCTGGGAATTACCTTTGTTAGGGTCCTCTCACTAGCCAACTTCCTCTGGGAAGTTCACAGCAGTACACAAAAAGGTGCCACGGATTCAGGAAAACAGCCCATGACTTTTCTTTGAATGCACAAGCTGTAAAAACAAATAACCAACTAAAACCATTGCAGTTCAAGCAAGACCTGGCGAAATGACTCGCATCAAGGTCCCATCTTGCCATTCAGTGCCTCTAAAAGAGGGCAGTCTTAACCTGTTGCCCGAAATAACCTGAAGCGATGAGCGCATCCTTTCGAGTGCTCCAGGATTCTTCTTCAGGCCAGATGAAGACGAGTCCTGAAGACCTGGGAAGCTCACGCCTCGCCTCATGACATTTTGGCCGTCCCCAGGAAAGGTATTCACCTGCAGCGACTTTCGCCGCATGTGGAGCACTGTTTCTTCTTTAGCATGGGATCCTCGGGGCAATAAGAGTCGATTTTGACCGTGCGCCTCGCACTGCCTGGAAGCCTGGTGCTTGCCCCGGCTTAATAAATGTTGGGGCTTATCCACCAAAGGGAGACTTTTGTGTGAGTCTCACAGACCCGTGGGACGGGAACCGACTGCTCCGGATGCTTGCCCAGCGCAGCCCCCATGCCTGCCCCCGGCTTCCCTCCTTGCCCTCACCTTCTCGTGTGGCGAGATGCTGAAGGCAGTGAACCAGGTGTGTTCCGTGTCTTCCGCCATTGCCATAGTCCCCAGGAGCCATCCAGCTGACCTGTAGACCGATGCGAGGCATGCAATTCTGAGTGCGTGTTTTGCCCCCGCTCCAGGTGTGTAAGCATCTCCTCTCTGGCCTTCAGCATGGATGGCATGTTTCTTTCGGCATCCAGCAATACAGAGACCGTGCACATTTTCAAACTAGAGACTGTGAAAGAGAAGTAAGTCCTTCTGGGCAGGGAAATCCACATGTAGACATGTGGGAGGGGTGTTTTCAGCTGAGGGAACCCAGGGCTGGTCGATCATGGCCACTGGATGAATTGCCTGCAGGGTTGCTATCAAGGCAAGAAAGCTTAGCTTCTCTTTTAGCTCCTACACCGTGCAATGTCCCAGGTATACCTGCATCTGATCAAATCCCTCTTACCATACAAGTCCACTTGTAACTGTTCCTGCCGCACCTTGGTTTGCACAGGTGACAGACTTTAGCTTCCCTTTGTGTGTGATTTCGCGTTAGGGAAGCCAGCATTTTAATTGCGAGCTGTGGGTTTCATTGTATTTTACCAGAAGAAGAGCTGACTTCTGTTCTTTCCTATTTATTCCTGTCAGGAATTGTTTTCACTGTTTGTGAACAGCCGTGGAGTTTAGATGGCAGGCAAGCAGGATATAAATGCTTCATTAATTTAGTTACTTGTAGAATTGGGATAGGCAGTTAGCATGGAATACATACAACCTGAGCTACAGTTCACTTATTTAAATTTATGCAGCTTTCGACTTAAATCCCTGAAGAGTTTTCCAGACATTTAAAGTGACTTAAGGTAAAAACATAAACAAGCCCAAATCGTAGCCTAATGTGGCTTTCTCCAGCCTGGTGCTCCCCAGGCATGTTGAACTACAAATCCCATGCTCTCCCACATGGGAAGGCTAGTCGAATCAATTTGCTATTGAAGGAAGAACAGAAAAACGATTTCCTTTTCATCTGTCTTCGGAAAGCAAGTAAAGGTGGAGCCACCCACATCTTCCTTGAGGCAGAAAACAGAACTGTGCAGAGGTTAATCTAAGTCACAGGCTTAGCAGAAGACCAGGCCTTGGGTCCAGCCTTGAGCCACCAGAAGTGATCTGGGAGGCAGAGGGAGGGAATTGAGGCGCTCGCTGGGTCCCAAAGCCAAAGCGTGTGTCCCAGCGGCGGAGCCCTTCTTGCTGCGTGTAAAATGTGTCAGTGCCCGACTTTGACCTCTGCATGCCGCCCTCTTTCCAGACCTCAGGAGGAGCCCACCACCTGGACAGGTTACTTTGGGAAAGTCTGGATGGTCTCCACAAACTACCTGCCCACCCAGGTCACAGAAATGTTCAACCAAGGCCGAGCCTTCGCAACCGTCCGGCTCCCTTTCTGCGGGCACAAGAACATCTGTGCATTGGCCACGTGAGTCCGGGTGTCGGGGGAGGGCCATCTCCCACCCACCCCCAACCCCAAGCGTGCTGCAGGCGCCGCTGGAAAAGCTCTGCATGTACCCCATTTTGCAGCCACTCTGCCGCTGCCTGCCTGGATAATGCATCAGACGCAACCATTAGCTGGATTGTATTTGCTTCCGGACTCCTTCATGTATAGTAAATGAGGTTTAAAGTAGGATTGTTGCTTTAACTCATCCACTAACCAGCGTAGCCCTCCCCACGATCACTCGGAAGTAAATCCCATTGAGCGTGGTTGGGCATGCTCCCAGATTATTAGTAGCAGCATTTTATCCCGCTTCCCAGCCAGCAGGTGCAGCTCAAATATAATTCATAAATATGTCCCTTGCCTGCAGGTTCACAATCTAAAAAGATAAGCAGAAAGGGGGCAAGGTAAGGAGATGGAAGATTCCAGCCTAAGGGTCTTTTGGTTATTTGGGACAGAAGAAACCACCTATTCCCACTCTCCTGTCACTTGTGTTCTGTTTTTTGAGGTTGTTTTGGCTTTGGCAGGTTAGGGTAGGCTTTGCCAACCTGATATATTCCAGGTGTGCTTGCCTGTATCTCATAAAGGCTGTGTTAGGGTGTGAACACAGAAGCACCAAAGGAGGCTTTGCTTCGCCTTGCAAAGGCGATTTTGTTCATTAGACTGTAGGTTAAGCTGCTGTTCTTCTGAATGCCATTCAGAGTGCCTTTGTTGAGCTTCAGAGGGTGGGGGCTTGTATTAGCACGTCAACAGAGTTCTGTGAATGGGTGTTTTAGGGGTATTCCATCATTTCTTGTAGAATTCAGAAGATACCTCGGCTGCTGGTGGGAGCTGCTGATGGGTATCTCTATATGTATAACTTGGACCCCCAGGAAGGAGGTGAATGCACGCTGATGAAACAGCACAAGTAAGTCTCTTCTCTTGTTCCTCTAGAACTGTTGGAGGCTTGCACACGGTGCACGTTATGGGTGTTGAAGTAGATCCCAAAACAACAGAGACTCGCGGCACCTTAAAGTCTAACAAAGTTGTTTGAGCATAAATATAAGATACTTTTAATTTTATTTTTACCTTTGTCTGAACAAGCCAGGATTCATAAGCCAACAACAAACCTTGTTTTAAAGCTGCCTTGTGATCCTTGCTGGTTTGCACATAATTAAACGTAATCCAAGGTTTGAGTATGCCATAAAGCTCCTGTCTTCCTGGTTTGTTTACAAACCAGCAATGTAAGGGGCAGAGCGACAGGAAACTGGCTGTGTGGACCAGCATGCAGCTCATTCCGATTGTGGTTTATGAAGCCAGGATTTATGGCTCATTTTATGTACGTACATGGCCAATGTGCTGAGCTTAAGAGGTCTCGTGTTTTTGACTTGGGAAATATTAACTCAGAATATGGCTTTGCTCAAATATCCCGCTTTCTGTTCAATGTTTCAAACCATATATGCAGGCGTACTTGGGTGTCTCAGCCTTAAAATGATCAGAGTTGGTCTCCGTGCTTTGATTCTTCCCATAGGCTGGATGGCAGTATGGAGCCAGCCAATGAAATTCTGGAATCTGCATCACATGACCGGCCCCTAGTAGCACAGACATACAGTGGTGCTGTGACTAAAGGTACTTACGTGCCTTCTTCTCCTACGAGACACGGTAAGGACCGAGCGAGGGCGCAGCAGGCTGGAGAGATCCCGAGGGAGGGGTGCCGCACGGCTCCTTCCGTGTGGCACATTCATCCGGCAAGCTGGCGTCACCTCCCTGCATGTACGACATGTAAATATCGCTCCACACCCGGCACTGTTGCCTGGAAAGTGCCTAGACTTCAAGAAGAAGGCAGCTGCTCTTGCCACGCTGGCTGCTCAGCCTTGTGGGATGCTTCTCGGTTTTCCTTCCTCTTTCCTTCTGCTCCAATAGCCTGTCAGCCTTCCCCATACAGGGCACATACCCTCATTTTGGAGCGTTTCTGTTTTCTGCCCAACCATCTGTGTATGCCCTGAAGTGGCGCTGTCCCGGGAGGCCTGCATCCTGAGGGTTTCCCCGCCTGTGTCGCTTGGCCCATAGGTAGGGAGGAGGGAGCCGTCCGCATCGTGTGGCGTCCCCCCGTGCTTGGCCTCCTTCCCCGTGGGCCTCGCATAAAGAGCTGAGCAGGGTTACCGACTGATGGTGGGGAATCTGGGGCAGAAAAAGGAAGAACTCCTTCACTCAGCCTTGAAAGAAGATCAGGCACGTTGCTGGAGGATAAGACGGTCAACAGCACTGGCTCTGCAGACTGTGTGCTTTCTCCAGTATCCGAGGCAGTATGCTCTTGTACTCCACTTGCTGGGGAACATGGGTGGCCGGAGGCTGTCGCGGGCCTCCTCGTGGGCTTGCCACAGGCAGCTGGTTGGCCACTGTGGCAAATTGCTGGACCGCTGGAGATGAGAGGTCTCTATAAACAGGCACCATTTAGGGTGCCAGGCCCGGACGGCGGCCCGTTCCCATCCGAATCACCTTTCTCTTTATTCTTCCCTAGCCTATTCTGACGATCTGGGCGCCGTTGGTGGAGCTTGCCTGGAAGAGGACATGGGGGCCCTGCGGATGGAGGAGGACAGCGAGCACCCCCCGATGATCCTTCGAACGGACTGAGCGTTGACCCGTGAACACCACTCTGGGCGCTGAGAACACTGGCCTGACATTTCTTCAGGATTCCTTCTGTCTATGCTGCTACGAACTTTGGCCTGGCCTGGGAGCGAGAGGACTGCAAACTCCAAACGTTTTCAGACAAAACACACACACTCTCACACACAGAGTCCATCCTAGCTGTAGTGCCGAATGGACGCCATTGGGGGTGGGGGCGGGGACATCGGGTTTCCATGGCTTTTAAATCCTGCTCTTTCTTTTAGCTGTGAGCGTACATATATCTATATATAGAGAGCCGTGTTACTACCGTTGCCAAAACCTGCTGCTTGTCAGCCTTCGGCACCTTCCAGCTTTGCATGCCTTCTTGTGCCAAGCAAGCATCGGTGAGCAGATCCATTTTGTTACCACGTTTGCAGTTTTCTCTAAGGAGAACAAACAGCCTAACACCTGGCATCTGGGCAGGAGGGGCAGCGCCGTTTGGTTCCGGGTGCTTCGGCCGGTTCTGCTCGGGCAAAAATCCCCGGTGGTTTCCCATGCATGGGCTTGCAGTCAACCCTGGTGACTTGACATGTGACTGTTTGAAACGGGCTGCACTCTTTTCCTTGGGTTCTTTTCCCACTGCCACCCCTCCCTCACAACCCACTTCTCTGCCCCCACACCTTTTCTTTCTTTTGTTTCCTGGACCATTTTGTTAATTAAACTCCTTCTGAATGCTGTCTTTTTTGTGGGACTGTTGTGTTCTCTTAGAAGTGAGGGGCCTCTCCTTCCACCTTTGCTACTTCATTTGCCGAAAAATGAAATGACGATTAACCGTGATTCATGCTCACTTTGGGGGCAAAAGAGCCAAGAGCCAGGGAAAACTTCTTTTGTTTGTTCCTTCGCCAACCCTGAGTCAACGGCCACACCTGGGGGTCACATTAAGACAGGAATCCTGGTTTAAAGCCCACAGTGTGAATCCAACTACATGCAGCTTGTTTGACCCCACATCCCTTCACACGGTTGAAGCTGGCTTGCGATTCTGGCTACCCCTTCTGGCTTTGTTTTTTTGCTAACATAAAGGGGGAAACAAACAGGCTGCATGTAGTGACATCATAGGTTATTATGCCAGGAATCCTGGCTTAACAGTGATGTCTGGACACAGCCGGCATATTGCGCTTAGGAAGTGTTTTGTTTTAAACCCTAAAAGCATGTTCTTTCCTGGGTCCTTTTTGTCCAGCCCATGCTGACCTTTCAAAGGCTCGCGTTGCTCTTCAGAGGGAGCTGCTTTCAGAACCGTGTCTGCTCTTGCTCTCCTTTTGTTTCTGCAGCTGGCCAAGCGCCATGCTCTTCCCTGGTTCTTGCAGGGTGGAATGATACAATGCAAGAAGCGCGGAGCTGCCGCCAAGAACAGCAGCCCCACGCCTGGCGCCGTCCCTCTGCAGCGCACGGTCACTTGTAAGCCAAAACATCTGGAAGGCCGTGCTCTCCACCGTCCCTCCCCACCGTTGCCTGTGCTGGCCAGGGCTGAGGGGTGTTGCAGACAGAACCGGGTGGCCTCGAACGGCCCATCCCTGCATGAGACCCTTGTCCTGTGTGTTCTCCCCACCTTTGCCGTGCATCATTGGCCTTTGTCTTGGAGGCGGGGGCAGGAGATGCACAGTGGAATGATGCCAAAACACCGGGGGGCCTCCCGTGTGTTCCACGGGCGAAACACTTGCCACGGGGCCACTCTTTCCAGGGGCAGCCCGTTCTTCCACACATGTAGCGCCACCCTTGGCCGAGGGCCGGGTGTCCCCCGCTCAGCAGTCCGCATGCAGGACTGAGCTGACAGATCCCCCACTGGTTTCGTCCCTTCGGCTCCCGGTCTCAGAGCTTCTCGACTGCCTCTCCCAAGGCCTTACCTGGCCCCACCTGCCTAATCTCCCACTTCCGGCAGCTTGAGTGGTCGTCGTCGTGTCAGGGAAAGGACCGGTCTGTGACCAAAGTTGGGCAAAACTGCCATCCTCTTTTTACAGAGCTGTAATGTGCCTTTTTTGTTTTTGTTTTAACCTTTTTAGATTTGTTTCAGTGGAAAAGACAATTATGTGTGAACCTTCTGGGCGTGAACATCTTGTTTTCCATGGATTGTTAGCCATGTTTTTTTCCTTATTAAATTATTACTCACTCTCCTCCTTTTGTGGCATTCTCTTCAGGGAAAAAGTAACCAAACCCTGTGCTTTTTAGGTGGGGAAGTGGGTGAGTCTCGGGGGAGAGGTCGAAATGCTTGCTCTGTAAAACTTCATTCTGAGGTTTGGGGGCAACCCTTGAATACGGTGGGAGCTTCCATGGAAATTCCCAATGGGAGACAAACGGTAAAGGACAAGCTTCCGGGCAAGGCTGCCGCTGCAGTGCCCACAAAGTGCAGCTGCGATGGAACCCAGGAATAATTTTTAGGCAAATACGAGCAGCTTGCAGGCTGGTGGTATTACTTTGTCCTGTGACGTAGCTTGGCTTGCAAGATTCTGCAGCAGATCTGAGTGCAGGGCAGGCATCACAGCTTTGCTGGAGGCAAGATGGAAAGAGGCAGCCCTGTGGAAAGTGCCAAGCCGTGACTGGGCTGGAGGCTAGACGGGAGAGGGGGCAGGGTCTGTTTCTTGCTCCAGCAGTGATCAGAGACAGACAACTCGGATGGTGAGGTTCGCTGGTCCCATCTTCATACTGACTATTTTTGTTTCTTAAAGGGGCCTGGCTCGTTTTGGCCATTTTGGCGAGCACACAGGAGTGCTTGTGGTATGCAAAGCCCTCTTGGCCTGGGAGTCGGCACGTTCGTGCACACTTCAGGATGCACCAGAGCTGCCCCTGGTCCTGGAGACAAGTCCTGGGAGCCTTTCCTTAGCTGAGTCTTCTCCCTCAGAGCCTTTTCCTCTAAAGGCAGGAAGTTGGGATCCTGTTAGAATGGAGGGTCATGCTCATGGGTCATGACAAGCTCTGACTTTTCTCCTGTGTTTCCCTCCATCTCAGCAGCCGAATTTAGAAGAGGTGAAAAGACTTTGGGCTGTCACGGTTTGTTCAGCAGTTGTGAGTTGCCAAGAAAAGCTTGTGAACCAACTGCGAGTCACCCAGAGATGTTACCAGTAAACCTTCTGCCCACCTCATTCTAGAATAATCTCAGTGGATGGAAGATGCTGCTATATGTAAATGAAAGTTCACTCCAGACCACGCCTCAGAATCTCCTGCGTAGTCTTTGCAAGAAGCTCAATAGAGAGGCCATTGGAGAATCCCTGGTATTTCCAGAAAGAAAAAGTTTCGGGTACCAATGATCCTTTTGGCAAGGCCTCTCCACTGAGGAGTTACCTGGCTTAGAGAAATTGCAACAAGGCATTTCTTACTTCCTCAGACTCTTAGGAAATTGTGCCATGTGGCATATTATTTTCTAGTCTTTGTTCGGGGCTGCCTTGGAAGGCCTTGTATCCCGAAGAACAAGATTTAAATAATAAATTCAAAAATCCCTAATTGCTCTCCAGGAAGTCCTCAGCCAAACCCCTTTTAAGTTGTGTCTGGATCACAGGAATCCATTTCAGTGAATCAAAAGCCATCCAGAAGAGCATGTGTCAAGATGGAATACTTCGCATGTACAATGTTGGAGGTTCCATGTCCAAAAGTATGGGCCGGCTCAGCAATACCTCCAGACTTGCAGAAGTAGGAAAAATACATTATGGGGTGGTAGGTGGGGGAAGCAAACCAGCCCAAAGACAACCGAGGTCAACTGTAACGGTGACTGATCTTTTTGAGGGACACAAAAGGACTGGAGAAGACACTGCGGTGTCATGTCGCAGAGCTGAGCAGGATCTGAGCTTGGGCCTGTGCTCAAGGATAAGCCAGATGCCTTCTGCATGCTTTGGACTACACTTCCCACGATCCCTGACCACTAACCATACTTGATGTGCCTTCAAGAGCCCAAACCTGCTGAAGGTTGCCAGCTTGCCTGTCCTTGCTGGAGAGAGGGCTGGAAGGCCCAAAGACTGGCCCTTCCTATTTTGTGGCTTCTCGAGAATCGGACGGCAAGCTCACAGTACAGCAGTCTAGGGTGTCCCTTCATCTTTTCCCCTTCGAGTTGGAGAACTTCCCATGGTAGGAGAGGAAGAATTTGAAGGAGGTACCTGGTCACAGAGGACTCCAGTTTTATGCTGTAAGGACCACTGAGTTATTTCAAATATTCGTAAAGCAAACACCAATCAATTGCAAAACCACGTTTGTTCTACCACAGCCTCATAAAACTGGGGGTGCTACCCAAGATAATTTGATGTCTGAAGCAAGACACAGGAGGCTGGCCCTGGTGTTGCACATACAAAAGTGGGCTGGACCGGCGCTCGAGTTTGTCTCAGGCACTGCTGGTAGGACAGCGTTCTCCTCTGCGAGGAAGCAGCAAGCTCACTTAAGAGGCGCCGGACAGCGCGCGTGGCACACAGCTCTCCAACGTCTTGCTGCGACCTCTCCTCTTCTGACTCTGCCTCAGAGTAGGGCTGGCCCTGATCAATATACAGTGGCCTCTAATTCAGCTTTTAGAATAGTCCCAGGGTGAACTAATTTCGCCTCCCCAGGGAGGGCATTCCAGAAATGGGAATGAGCCCCTACCTTCCTCACTTCTGGGGGAAGGCAAATCCGCAAGCATCGCCTGGTTCTTCCTTCTCACAGGTTGCCCCTTTGAAAGAGCTCTGCCTCTCTTCCTCATTGCAGAAAGATTTCTGTAGCTCGGCTGGGCCAAAAATGATCCTTGCCGTCTGTGTTTTGTGTAGTACAAATCGACAAAGCAACACACCTGTGTATTACCTGACATATAGGAAGGTGTCTTCCCCACCTTGTAATTCTATGTGAAATGGTTTTAGTAATCTAGTCAATGGAAGGGGTGGTAGGTTTAATTGTGTGTTCATTTTGCACCTGCGGGACCCGAAGCCGTGCCAGAAACCGTGCCGCCACTAGGTGGTGAGCCGCTCCTGGTTTTGTTGGCGGTGTTTAAATCGAAGGCAGTTGCATCCAGCCAGCTCCTCCCGGCAGCCTCAGTCTCGCAATGGGTGCAAACTGGGGACCCGCCCAGCCCTTTCCCTGGTTGCGTTGGTGGAAGTCGTGCGGGTGGAGGAAGGGAGCGGTGGGTGTCTTCCGTCCGTGCGTGCAGGAGGACGGTGAGAGAGACCAGCCCAATCCAAAGCTGGTGCCCCCAGGGCCTGGCCTGGTCCGAGAGAAGCTCAGCACTGCGGACAGCCCCCGTGCGTCTCAGAATGGCCATTGCATGGCATAAGGAGCCCCGGCGCCTTGGGAGTCTCCAGCCTGCCTTTCCAAGGCCGGGGGGGCGGAGGGGCTCCAGACCAAGACCTCACAGGGGGTGGATCCTGACACAAGCCAGGATGTTGCACAGCTGGCTTTGTTGTGACAGGTCTCGGCTGCCCTTTCCGGGAACCCAGGAAGCTGCTTCATAACAGGTTGGAGCCGGCAGCAGAGGCAGGCAGAGCCGGGCTCTGGCCAAGCACCCACAGCTCTGCCGGGGGGCTCTGGCAAGAGCCCCCTGGACTTGCTGGGCCTCTTCATCCACCTGCCCCTCTGTGGCGTTGATATACTGCCCTGTATCTAGTCAGAATCCAGAGGGGTGAAGACTAAAAAGTAATAGGTTAAAACAGGGTAATGTTCAACAGGGCTGCATTCATCGTTGCGGCCTCCTTGTTCACTTGCCCCTCTCCTGGGGCTAGATGCCCGGCCTCCGTGC